AATATAATCTAATCTGTCTGATATAAGAATTGCTACCTCAGCTTTCTTTTGAGGTCTGCTGGCATGGAAGATGGATCTCCATCCCTTCACTTTCAGTCTGGATGTATCTTTAGGTTCAAAATGAGTCTCTTGTAGGCAGCATAGGGATGGGCCCTGTCTTTTTATCCAGTCTGCAACCCTGTGCCATTTTATGAGAGCATTTAGGCCATTCACGTTGAGAGTGATTATTGAAAGATATGAATTAATTGTCCTCATGTTGCCTGTGAAGACCTTGTTTTTATAGATTGTCCCTGTAAATTTCTGTTGTCTATCACTCTTGGGGTCTTTCTCCTTTTATAGGACCGCCCCTTAATATTTCTTACAGGGCTGGCTTAGTGGTCACATATTCTTTCATTTTCTGCCGGTTGTGGAAGCTCTGCATCTCTCCATCCATTCTGAATGACAGCCTTGTCAGATAAAGTATTCTTGGCTGCATGTTCTTTTCGTTTAGTACCCCGAATATGTCTTGCCAGGCCCTTCTGGATTGCCAAGTCTCTGTGGATAGGTCTGACGTTATTCTGATGTTCCTCCCTCTGTACATAAGGAATCTTTTCACCCTAACTGCCCTTAAGATGGTTTCCTTGGTTCTAAGATTTGCAAGTTTTACTATTACATGCCGGGGTGTTGGCCTGTTTTCCTTGATCTTGGGAGGGGTCCTCTCTGCCTCTAGGACACGAATGTTCGTTTCATTCCCCAGATTAGGGAAGTTCTCAGCTACGATTTGCTCAAATACATCTTCTGGTCCTCTCTCTCTCTCCACTCCCTCCTGGATTCCAATTATTCTGACACTGGAACGCTTCATGGTGTCACTTATTTCTCTGATTCTATTTTCATGGATTCTGAGTCGTTTTTCCCTGGCCTCCTCTTTTCCCTTTTTATCTATTATATTGTCTTCCAGGTCGCTTATTCGTTCTTCTGCCTCACTTACCCTAGCTGTTAGATTGTCTAGATTGGATTGGGTCTCATTGATAGCATTTTTAAGTTCTGCCAATTCAGCTTTCATGTCTGCCCTTAGAGGCTCTATGTTGCCATTAATCGATTTCTCCATTCTAGCCATTTTCTTCACAATTGCTAGCCTGAATTCCATCTCCGACATCTTGGTTATATCTGCATCCATTTGTAAATCTGCAGCATAAGTCATAATCTCTGAGTCTTTTCTATTTTGGTGGTTCCTCCTCCTCGTCATTCTGTTGATGGGTGGTTGAGGGAATGTATAGAGTCCGAATTATTGACCAGAACCCAAGCATGATGCACCGGTTTTCTAGGGACCTTAGCGTTGCTGGCCTCTTGTTTTCTCAGCCTGTCTTCTTGGGGAGGGGCTTGCCGCGCTGTTACTCAGGCAGCCCTGTTTGGGCGGAGTCTCCCTGGCCCCCTGTGGTGGGGGATGGGCTCAGTGGGAATCAGTTACTGGGCCTTTTGTCCTCTGGCGTCTTTCCCTGGTGGCATTCCACTTCCTCGAGTCAGAGCAGAAGAGACCGTTTCCAACCCTCTGTCTCAGAGCAGAGAGATCGCAGTCTGTTCTTCAGTGAGCTCTCCAGGCCACACTGTCTCCGTTTCTGTCCGTGCTGCTATAAACTGCAGTAGCCTGGGTTGTGCGCCCCTCCGCAGCGCCCCCAGTCCTGCCTCCAGGTCGGGGTACGTCTCTGCCCTTTGTGCTTCTAAAACCGCCAGCCACCCCCAGATCGCACGCGCGACCCCGCCGCTCCGGGTTTCTGCCCCGGGGGCTGCCCTAAAGTCCTTTCCCCGCCGCTAACAGTCTGCGAGTCTGTGCCCGGTCCCCAGCGCGCATGGCTGCCGCTCACCGGTGGTGTAGGATCCCCACGGCCAGGCTCCCTCCCGCTGCCGTTTATCTTCCGATATCTGTCCGCGGAATCACGGCTCCCCGCTTCCTACCTCAAAAGCAACTGCCTGTGATATAACCTGTTTGTAGAGATCCAGATCTTCTTACATCTCAGGCTGATTTCATGGGTGCTCAGAGTGGTCTGGTAGATATCCAGCTCAATTCCGGGGACCGGTTGGAATAGGGTCCCTTACTCCTCCACCATCTTTCCTTTTCTCCAGTGTCTTTTATGCTTTTTTTCAAGCCCAGCTAGTGAATTTATAACTGTTATCCCGAATTCCAGTTAGGACAGCTTACTTATATCCATATTGATTAGGTCAGCAGCTAAGAGTATTACCTCTGGTTATTTCTTTTGCTGTGAATTCCCACTTCTAGTCATTTGTCCTGAGAAGAATGGATGAATGAGTGAACAAAATAAAAAATATATATATATCAACCATGATCCAAGTGAAATACACACTAGGCAAATCCAAATAGGTCAGAAACAACAACAGCAAGAACAAAACGGGGGGGGTGGGGGTATACAGAATAATATAATCTCCCACATGAACAGAACAGAGTGATCCACCTGGTCCTGGGTTTATTTTGGTCTGTTTGTTAGAAGACACTAAATGCTAAAATTGTAAAGAAAGCAAAACTTATATGCATACAAAAATAAAATTGAATACAGTGAAAGGAAGCCAAAAATGAAGAATATATGTATAAAATGTAAATGTAAAAAAATGAAAGTTAAACAAAGTCTTCAAAAAGAAAAAGTTGATAAAATAAGAAACTAGTTGAAAAGGAAAAAATAAAGAAAAGAAAAATTTTAAACTGAAAGTTAAATCATAAAAAAAACCTTGAATTCTACATATTATTTTCCCATAGCACTGGAGTTTTGAAGTCCTATGTGCTCTGGTTTGTTGGTTTGTTTGTTTGTTTTTGCCTGTTCTTCCAGCCGGTCTTCTGGGGGAGGGACCTGCTGCACTGATTCTCAAGTGTCTTTGCCTGGGCAGACTTGCACCACCCCAGCCAGGGGGCCAGGCTCAGCGTGAGATGCTAGTGGTTCCTCTGTGTGACTTTTGTTCCCTGTAGGCCTTCTGTGCGTCTCTAGAGGATGGACACAAAAATGGCTGCACCCTGATCTTCAGCCCCGTAGCCCCCTCTCTTCAGTAAACCCTCATGGACAAGCCATCCTCACTTTTGTGTGCGCCAAACTGTGAAGGCTCCTTTGGTGCACCCCGCCCCCCCGACCTGCTCAGGAAAGGCAGAGGGCCACCACTTTCCTGTCCTTCTCAGTATCCTCACACTGAGCGCAGTCACCCTGTCATGCACACTCTCCTGGGATGATGCCAATGTTCAGGAATCCCATCTCTGCCCCCATGGGCAGCTCAGACCCCCACCACCTCTGGGCTCCAGTCAGTACCTAAGGCTGATCAATACATTGATTCTGGAACAGCAGCCTCAGTGCTGCTCCCTGGAGCTCAAGATCTCTGGGGACAAGAAACACACCCTCCCTGTGCTCTCAGGACTGGGCTGCCACTCCCTTAGTCACTCCAGTAATACCTCTGATGGAAAATCATCTGTCCCAACCTAGCACCCTCAAGGCATGTGACCTCAAGGACACAGGCCCCCTTATCTCCACCTTTCCAGCACTCAAATGTAGGACCTTTGACAGAAATTTATGATCTATTTGGCCTTAAGAGAGTAGGGATTCATTTCTCTAGTCATGGCTGGCTGAATGAATAACTCTTCTATCCTGAACAGGCTGGACCAAGTTGAGGGACCATAGCTGTTCCCACCCCAGAGAGTGCTGTGACCCCAAATCCATTTGTCCTAGAAGCTCTGTCTGTGTTTGGTAATTTTGTCAGCGGGATGGTTCTGAGTTCATAGCAACAGGCCCCTCAAAGGGTTTCCCTGGGTATCACGTTGACCTTTCCTACCTGGAAGACTGGACGTCCTGTACAAACGAGTGATTTTTAGAAAAAGTATATAAATCCCACTTCTTTTGAAAACAGAAGGCATTCCAGTTCCACTGTTTTCAATCCATGTTTTTAACCACTATTTCCACCCATATTCTCTCTGCAAGAAGCACATATCTAGGGAAAGGACAGTACTGATTGTAGCTGCATCTTCACAGTGACCTTGCTAGAGTATAAATCAATCTTACTGAAAGGAATTTTGTATAAATAACACACATTCACTTAAAGTACATGGTTGGCTGTTTGGTGACTAAAACATAAACTCTCACTAGGTCCCTGTCACAGCATCTGTATCTTTCACTCCTCTCTTCCTAGAACTTCTGGCAGGTTTGCCTTTGTGCTCTGAGGTCAATGCCCCCCACGGCCTCATGGGGCAGGGATCCTGCAGACCTGTCTCTATGTGCTTGGAGGACAGATACAAGGAGTGGCCAGTGTATGGAGAACTGTTGTTATGAACAGGTGGAAAGAGTGACAAGAGTGACAGATGACAAAGACTTTCAGTGTGTAACCCTTCAAGAAATGCACATGAGGACTTCTAAATACAACCTGGGGTGAAGAGCTCCCCATCTCCTCAGTGCTGCGGGAACTTCAGAGGAAGGAGAGACTGGAAACCAGGCAAATGGCACATAGGAGGAAAGTCCCTGAATCCTGCAAAAAAGGGGCCACGGCTCCACTGAGACCTGTCAGTGCTCTGGACTTGATCCTGATCTAAGAGGAATTTGTATAAGAGTCAGGAGGTCAGTTGTGACCCACTACCTCATACAAGGGGTACATGGGTAAACACACCCTGGGGTCACTAAGTAGAGCATAATGTGAGGTCATGGGAGGTAGCATATAGGGGCATAGGGCTTGGCCCTAATGCCGGGAAGAGTGGACAGAGCAGTAGGGAGGGAGATGTGTCTGATGGGCTCTGGTTACCATATCCGGACACTAGGGGGCACTGATGGCCTGTCTCTGAGGATCAAGGGAGCTCAGAGCCACTGCCTGCTCCCCCCCAACTTCCTCAGGCAGAGGGACCTGATCCAGGTCCAGGGAGGGGTCAGAGAGCTGGGGTCTCATTTGCATGGCCAGGCCCTCCCTCTCTCAGAGGATGAAGAGGGGAAGGGAGAGATGAGGGGAGGCTCTGCACAGCTGTGGGGCCACAGAAGGCGGGATCGGAGATGACCTCCACCATGGCCTGGTCCCCGCTCCTCCTCAGCCTCCTCGCTCACTGCACAGGTGACTGGATGCAGGGACAGGGGAAGGGGCCCTGGGAGGACACATGGGCCTGGCTTCCTCCTCTTGTCTCAAAACCCCAGCATCACCATCTTTGTGCTTTTCCCCCTTGCAGGGTCCTGGGCCCAGTCTGTGCTGACTCAGCCGCCCTCCGTGTCTGGGGCTCTGGGCCAGACGGTCACCATCTCCTGCACTGGAAGCAGCTCCAACATTGGGCGTGGTAATTATGTGAGCTGGATCCAACAGCTCCCAGGAAAAACCCCTAAAACTGTCATCTATGGTGCTAGCAGTCGACCCTCGGGGGTCCCTGCTAGGTTCTCTGGCTCCAGGTCTGGCAACTCTGCCACCCTGACCATCACTGGGCTCCAGGCTGAGGACGAGGCTGAGTATTACTGTGCATCGGGGGACAGCAGTCTCAGTGCTCACACAGTGCTCCCGGCCTGCGGGGAAGTGAGACAAAAACCTGCTGTTCCCCCAGCATTGAGTCTCCCTGTGCAGCTCCCCCTCCTTGTCCAAATCAGCTGTTTCCTTTTTTTGTGTTAAACTATCGTCTGAGTCCAATCTCAGTGAACTTTGACTACAAAATCATTCACATTCTCTTAAGTTCAGACCCAAAGCCTATCCTTTGCAGGAATGCATTTTAGGGTTTTCTCATATTAAGGAGAAAGTCCTGGGTCCCTGGGGCAGGCTGCCCTAGGGACAGAGTCTGTGACAGCTCAGGACAGAAACAGAGGCACAGAGTCCAGCTGTATCTGACTAAGGATAGAACACTGTCTAAATAATATGCATCCACACCACTTACTAAACACCTAGTATGTGCCACATGTGAGCCTAGGGATGTGGGACGCAGATGGACATGATAGGACGTGTCCCCATGCTCAGGGAGCTGACGGTGTCTGGGGGAAGAGAGAGGACACAGGAGCTAAACATGTTGTAAAGGAAAGCTGTGTCACAGGAGCATGAAACGGGGTGAGGTCATTGGGGTGGTGCTGCAGCATTGGAGGGGTTAACAGCAAGTGGCTAACAGGGGACCCCAGTTCCCTCCCTCCTCTGAAACTTCCCAAAGTTACACATGTCAAAAGTTTGGCTGGTAGATTGTTCAGTATTTTTGAACCTCTCATGACAATAGGCTGGTTTAGTTAAACTCATTTCAGGAGCGGGTGATGCAGGTGTGTTCTCAAAGTGAAGCCTGTGGTTCAAGAAATCAGGTATTAAAAAGAAAAAAGAAGATAGCAGGAGGGGAAGAATGAAGCGGGGGGAATCAGAGGGGGAGATGAAGCATGAGAGACGATGGACTCTGAAAAACAAACTGAGGGTTCTAGAGGGGAGGGGGTGGGGGGATGGGTTAGCCTGGTGATGGGTATTAAAGAGGGCACATTCTGCGTGGAGCACTGGGTGTTATGCACAAACAATGAATCACGGAACACTACATCAAAAACTAATGATGTAATGTATGGTGATTAACATAACATAATAAAAAGTACATAATAAAAAAAAGAAATCAGGTTTTTTTTAACCATGAGCTTTTATTTTTTATATTTATTTGACAGAGAGAGAGAGAGAGAGAGAACACAAGCAGGGGGATTGAGAGAGGGAGAAGCAGGCTTCCCGCTGAGCAGGGAGCCCGATGTGGGACTCGATCCCAGGAAGGCAGATGCTTAACTGATTGAGCCAATCAGGCACCCAAGAAATCAGGTATCGAACAAGAGGCATTTTTATGGAAACAAATAAAAACAATGGTTAATGATTGGATCAAATTATAAAGCAGTTCCTGAGTTCTGAGAGTAGCCAGTGGAGAAGATTTCTAGATATTATGTTCAAATCATCCTCAGATAGAGTGACAAGAGGCTGTAACAATATGAGTGTTATCAAAATATCATGTGTTTTCTTTTCACAACCATCCTCATTTCTACTAAATATAGCCAAATTAACATTAATTTGTTTGCAGAATAAGTCTAGTTTCAAAAAGAACTTGGTCTGATTATTTACATAAGTGCAACAAGAATAGTAGTTGACCACATAGGCTCTTTAAAACATGCTTTGGTGGAACTTTTATAAGAAACCTCTGGATTGAATGTTTAACAGCCCCTCCAGGCCAGAGGCTGAGGCAACACTTGTGCCAAATACTTGCCATTAGACTTTGCCTGCAACACCTGTACACTTGGGTAAATTCCTTTCTTCTTGAGGTACCCAAAATATCTATGGTTCCTGAACCTGCCAGAAAATAAACTTCTTTTTTTTTAAGATTTTATTTATTTATTTATTTGACAGAGAAAGAGAGCACAAGCAGGGGAGTGGCAGGCAGAGAGAGAAGGAGAAGCAGACTCCCCACTGAGTAGGGAACCTGACTCCCGCTCCATCCCAGGACCTCGGGTTCATGACCTGAGCCAAAGGCAGATGCTTGACGGACTGAGCCACCCAGGTGCCCCAGGAAGTCACTTTCTTGACTCACCAGGTAGAGCTGCTGGAAACTGAAGAAGCAGGTGCTAACAGGCTGATATTTCCAAGAGGTTGCCTTAGTTCACTAAAGTCCGTCTTAGTTCCTTAAAGCTGCCTGGTCATATCTGAGATTATGTGTATGCATATTTCTTTCAAATATGACATTCTTGTCAAATTATTGATAACATAACCAATGTTTCCAGTTACATGCTGTTACAAGGAAAACTGATTCTTATTGTACTTATGCTAATAAACATACCGCCGTAAAAATATGAGAATACTCACTGACAATTTCTGAGTTCTGGAGGGATCAGGCAGGGAGAAAAAATAACTTAATCTGTTCACAAATATGTATTTTATCAAGTTGTTATAGATCAGTTAGTGTAAGAGATGTTTCCTTAAATATGAAGGAAGAAAACATTTTGAAAAGTCAGCCAAACAAAAAGTCAAAAATTATAATCATCCGCCTCTGTACATTATTTCATGTTATTGGTTTTGTTCTGTTTGAATCCAGTTTTTCTATTAGTTCTCAAAATTTTCACTTTAGTTTGACCATCTTGAAGGTATCGGAAACTTACATTTGTCAAAAGTCCTCCCCATGAATATCCTTGAAGTTAAAATTCATTTGCAGTAGCATCGGAGTAGAATGGGAACTGTATGTGACAAGACATGACAGTGGCCATGTCTACGGATGGGTTTAGAGTTCACTACGATGCAATTGACAAGGAAATGTGGTTATTCCCGTGACACACAGCACAAACACATATGAAAGGCAAATACACTAAGTTACATAGTTGTAAGCAAAATGTAGAGTTGTTTTTAATATTAAAAACCGAGTCTTTTGGGTCATCTCTGTGGGGCAGTTGGTTAAGCATCTGACTCTTGGTTTCAGCTCAGCTCAGACCTCATGGTCATGAGATCGAGCCCCACATCAAACTCCATGCTCAGTGTGGATTCTGACTGAGATTGTCTCTCTCTCCCTCCGCCACTCTTGCTCGTGCTCTCTCTCTCTCTCCTCTCTCTCCCTCAAATAAATAAATAAATCTTTTTGAAAAACCAAGTTTTTAATATAAATTAAGGTCCTGATAAACATAGGAAATATTTTGGCAAAACAGAGTACTTCTGTCTAGGCTGATAACTTTAAAATTGAATAAAAACTTTTTTTTTTAATGCAGAACAATAGTTCAAGAAAAGTTTATCCTTTTAACAAATAGAAAACAGAATTCTAATTTTGCATCCACATATTTTGATATTAAAATTCATTCATTTACTTAAATGTATCTTAATTTTAACCAGTATTGATCACACATAAATTTCCTTTCCAGATTCCTTTTCTAAAAACTTACTACAACTTTCTCTTATACACTTAGATTTTGAGCTAAATTTTCTTTCTTCACAAAACCAGCCTCACTTTAGGACAAATTTATATTTCTTTTCCCTCAACAAAATAGATATTCACATTCCTCATATTTTTTTCCCCAAAAAACCACATGTCTCACTTTCTTGGCACCCAGAATTGTGTTCCTTATTATTTCTAGGAGCCTAATTTATGTTTAGTAGAATTCCTAACTCTTAGAAACTTTATTTTCTATTTTCTCTTGCCTCCACAGGGGCCAGAGAGGGAAAACTGAGGAGGAAGCAATTGTGAAATGTTTCTTATGCCAGTGTTTTTTTTTTTTAAGATTTTATTTATTTATTTGAGACACAGAGAGAGAGATAGAGAGGACAAGCAGGGAGGAAGGGCAGAGCGAGAGGGAGAAGCAGACTCCCCGCTGAGCGGGGAGCCGGATGCGGGGCTCGATCCCAGGACCCTGAGATCATGACCTGAGCCGAAGGCAGATGCTCAACCAACTGAGCCACCCAGGCACTCCTTATGCCAGGATTCTTTAGATTAGCAAGTTTATGAATACATTTCACAGTTTTTAGAAACATAACACCATATTTCAATAAAGCACAAACCAGGTTTACTAACTAACCCATATTTATCACTGTAGTTTCTCTGTAATATGACAAAAATAGAGTAACTTATGGTTAGTAATTAATGTTTTTTAAAATCTCAATTAACTTAGCAAAAAATAAAGAACTAAATAGTCAGGAAGGCTATACTCTCTACAGCAAGTGACAGATTAAATTCAATCCTTATCAAACCCCCAAATTCCTGTTTTGCAGAAAGATGATCTTACAATTTTAGTGGAATTACAGGAACTCAGAACATGCAAACAATCCTGAAGAAGAACAGATTTGTAGGACTCACAATTCCAGACTTCAATACTCGCTGAAACTTACTTACAAAGCTACAGTAATCAAGAGTGTGGTGCTGGCCTAGCGATGGATATACAGATAAATCAAACATATTTGAGAGTCCAGAAATAAATCTCTCATCTATGGCCAATTAATTTTCAAATGGGTACTAAGAGAATTTAATGTGGAAAAATTGGTCTCTCCAACAAATGGTGCTGCAACAAGTGAGATACCACTTAATACCCACTAGATACCCACACACAGAAGAATGAAGTTAGACCCGTACCACAGACTACCTACAAAAATGAATGTAAAATAGATCAAAGATGTAAATTTTTTTTCCTTTTTTTTAAATAATTTTTTATTGTTATGTTAATCACCATACATTACATCATTAGTTTTGGATGTAGTGTTCCATGATTCATTGTTTGTGCA